GAAGGATTGTTATTTACTTAAAATTTCTAAGGTTTTTATATGCCAAAACTTCAGGGATAATTGTTAGTTGTATGATGGCAGTGTGGAAGTTTGTTATTTGAATATCCATTTAATGTTGATGTTATAACAATCCTTCAGCAAGTTGTTTGACAGACAATGGAATGTTCCAAGGATCTGACACCATCTATATAATCAAAGCAAAGGTTTGATATTTTTCCAGATTGAAAATAATGAGGCTTTCAAGACTGATGTCAGCATTTTTAGTAGGTCAGATCAAGAAACAGACACCAGAAGCAGTACTGGAAATCTAATGTGTTGTTATAAGGTATAATATAGAATCTTGATAGCCTCACAAAGTTTCTCCCTCTCTTTAAACCAAAGGGAGAAAGAGACCCAATTTTGAATTTGTTCCTCATCCTAACTAAGCTGACTAAGTTTTCATAACAGCATATTTTCCTCAAGAGCCTGATAGTACAGTGGACTAAAGCACTGTTATTAACATCTGCTGCTTGCAATTACTGCAAGTTCAAATCTCACCAGGCTCAAGGTTGACTCAGCCTTCCATCCTTTCAAAAGTAGATAAAATGAGGACCCAGATTGTGGGGGCAATAAGCTGACTTTGTATAAATATACAAAAGTATGAAGGCTATTGCTTAACGCATTGTAAGCCGCCCTGAGTCTCCGGAGAAGAGCGGCATATAAATTAAAGCAAAAAAAAAAACCAGAAACACCATCTCTATATTGTGTTGCACTTACTCTGTCTGTTTTATTCTCTAGTTATGTTGTCTCTAGCAGTATATTTTTGTCTTCGTTTACTTAGAAATGGAGTGTATTACCAGGTAAATCAGTATAGGGATACTGTCTATACATGTGAGATGGGCAGCTTTTGGGGGCTGAACACTACCATGTTTGGGATAGAAGTTAAAGCTTGCAGAATACAAAGCAATGAATTGGTAGAGAAAAATGGGAAAAAGCTTCACCATGCATATAGTTACTAGTATAGGAAAGGTAAAGGTAAAGGTTCCCCTTGCACATATGTGCTAGTCGTTCCCGACTGTAGGGGGCAGTGCTCATCTCCGTTTCTAAGCCGAAGAGCCAGTGTTGTTAGAAGATGTCTCCATGGTCATGTGGCCGGCATGACTAAACGCCAAAGGTGCACGGAACACTGTTACCTTCCCACCAAAGGTGGTCCCTATTTTTCTACTTACATTTTTTACGTGCTTTTGAACTACTAGATTGGCAGAAGCTGGGACAAGTAACAGGAGTTACTTGTCCCAGAGTACGCAGCACTAGGGATTTGAACCACTGAACTGCCAACCTTTTGATCTACAAGTTCAGTGTCTTAGCCACTGAGCCACCGTGTCCCTTTTACTAGTATAGTACTACACTACTAGTTGTGTCGGGACTGCCAAAACTCTTCCAAGTTGAAAGGATTGAACAGTGACATTACCATTGCCCAGCGGATGTCCAGTTGGGGGCTCCTTTCATGACTCTGTTAAGTTGGTACCCATTTATCTACTTGCAGTCATCCACTTTCAAATTGCTGGGTAAGCAGGAGCTCAACCATGTGACAGGAGTTACCCCACCCTGCGCAGCAACAGGGTCTTAAATGCAAACCTGCTGATTGTAAGCCCAGTGTCTTAGCCTTGCGAGTCCCTGTGTTCCTAAAATGCATATAACTGAGGTCAGGCTTTCCTTTTTCTCATAGTTTGGGGAAATGTTTACTTTTATTAATTTACTGTATTTTTTATTTAGAAAAAGTGGTACCAAATAGTGTTATTAAAATTTGGAAATGTTATCATGGGGGGAATCTAATGATCATAGTCTATGTGCTACACAAGGCTCGTGAACCATAGAAGTGAGTTTCCAGTTGGAGTTCTTAGTGCCCTACTTTTGTTTTTAATTGTTTTGTTCTGTTTTTAATTGTTTTGTTTTTAATTGTTTTGTTTTGTTTTGTTTTGTTTTGTTTTGTTTTGTTTTGACTATCTGTGCACAGGAATGCACTGTTATCTCTCTACCAAATAAAACAAAATATAAAGGGAGAAGACTTAACTAAAAATAGAACATTGAATCAAACAATTTGTGTTTATATTCCAGATACATATCATTGTTATGCTTAATATTTAAAATATAATTGGGGTTATTTATAATGCTTCATGGGAAAAATATCTGAAAGAAGAGGAAGGGGACTGTTAGCCATCATTTTTAAAGATATTCCTATTTGAACATTGAGCCATAAACAAAGAGGTATGAACGCTGAAGCAAAAAAAAAAAAAACATAAAGCATATCTAAAAGATTTCTTGGGTACTAAAAATTGATTTCTTATTATTACTCTGGAAAATGTAATCATGGATTCTAAATGTAAATAAAAACTTAATGTTAGCTGGGTTATATGTCTCATCTGCCCTTCCTTCAAAATAGCTATGTATTTCTATTTAAAATGCTGTATATACTGCATTGAAAGTGATCCTCTGTATATTAAATAATTATCTAAACTTCAATTTAAAAAAGAAACCACATAAGAAAAACAAAAAAAAACAACACCTAGTAATAGTTACCATGTTTCCTCAAAAATAAGAACCAATCTTATTTTCTTTTGGGCTTGAAAATAGATAATTGGGTTTATTTTCAGGGAGGCCTTATTTTTTTTAACAGTAGGAGGGGGTCACTGTCTGCTTGCCCACAGCTGCAATGGGCCAAGCTTTCGGCATGCCACAATCTCCACCCACCCTGCCTGCTGGTCCAGCTGTTGCTGACACACTACTCGGCCACAGCAAGCACCATGCTGGCCATCAAGCAGCTGCCCATACTGCTGCTGGCCTCGTGGGGCTCTGTCCTCCTGGCAGGGCAGGTGGAGGCCAAGGTGTAGCCCTGATTGACGCCACAGGCAGTGGAACGGAAAGGGCGGGGCCAGTGGTAGCTGCCCAAACACTTTTCATCCAGAGGAAGACAAAGCTTTGTCTGCTTGCAAAGGGATGCTTTGAAAGGGAGCTAATTACTCGATTTCAAACTATCCCCTTTGCAAGCTCAAGTCTCCATCATTTCTCTGTTCGGGCGAAAAGTGTTTGGTCGCTTATGGAGCACTTGGGAATGGAACAATTTGCCTGCTGGTGCCACCGGTATTACAGCACAAGCTTCTCGCGAGCCTCCTATAAGTCAGGCAGCCACACAGCACATCCGGATCACCAATCTTCTTCCCCGCCCTCCTGCCTCTGCCTCTAAGTTCTGACTTATCAGTATTTGCATTGTGCCAAGGGATCTGGCAGGCTGCGGCTGCTGCTGGACACCATCAGCCCCCACATGCTCATTGCCTCTCATGCTGGCCATGCCCATCTCCCTGGGCTTATTTTTGGGTTAGGGCTTATATTAGGCCCACTGCAAAAAAAAAAAATTCAGGCTGATTTTCAGTGTGGGTCTCATTTTCAGGGAAACGCGGTAGATACTTTAATTGTTACTCAATGTATTTTCATGTTCTTTCCTGATTTAAATGATTAAACTTTTCAATATCTTTTACCCCACTGTAATTTTTAGCAATGTGTGAAGTCAGCATGACTATTGACTTAATTAATTATAGTCTTCATTATTGTTTTAAAGGAGTTATTATTTTATCCTGCTATTAAACTATGAACCTGAATTATGTACTAAAGTAGTTGTTTTGTACTATTTTAATGGTTGTATTGTGTTTATATGTACCTTTTCCTGAAAGCATGTTTTTATTTATCTTGTTTTTGTTTATTTTTTAATAATTGATTGTATGCTCTCAAGAATCATGTTTAGTGAGATGGGCAGCTATGTAAACATGTTAAATAAAATAAAATTAAATAAATAAATAAATCTTAGTGACAATTATGTTCATTAAGCAATTAAGTTCATCCAAAAAACTATATCTGAATATTTATTTATAACAACCTTTGAAGAATGTGAATGATTAATATAAAACACATTTCCAGTGTCAACATTGCTTGAAAACACTAACGATTAAGATTGTTTGAAGAAACAAATATAAAGTTGGTTTATTTGATCAAGAATAAAATAGATATGGTATTTCTGATACTTAATGGACTTTTGCTAACAAAAAGACTAAAATGATGGTGCTTTATGGATTTGTTTATAGATAAGAGAAGGGATATGGGAAGAAGACATCATTTGTTGTAATTTAACAGAAGTGAAAAGTTACCAATATTGTTTATGCTTGTGATGAAGGTTGGGAGCATGTCTTTATATATTCCTTTTAATTTCTTTTATTATAGTCTTACCTTTCTTTTCTTTTCTTTTCTTTTCTTTTCTTTCTTTCCTATTTTTTGCTTTGAACCTTTTACTATTACTTTCTATTTTAATTTTAATTTTTACTTTTTGTAATTATAATCTTTTAGGGTTAGAGCTGCATTCAGAGTGCAAATAATGAGAACAATGGGGGGAAAGTATTGACCAGTTATTAGATATTTCTTTCAAATAATTCACTTTTTAAAATTGTCCTCTGTCACTGAAATTGTGGATATTAAAGCAATTATGCTCACTGTAGTCTTCATGTGGCCAGAGATACTTTAGATGCTCAGAATTCAGATCAATCAGTAAAATCTGTCCTTGTGCTTTCAGTGATTAACAAGGGCACCAAAATGGATGCTTTGTGTCTATCAAACTTTCAAGATTCAATTGGCCTTAAAGACAGATGTACAGTCATTTACCAAACGTCCTATGGCTGAGGATATCTGGATTATTTTGTCAAAATAAAGTGACTAGCTTACAGTCATCAAGCTGGCTTTGTGCCTTGTTTCTGTCTGGGTGCCTTAACTACTACTCAGAATGACTCTCTTTTTGCTCTTATACTTGCTGCATAAAGAATCTCTGTTGGGTTAGTTCAGTATATATTATTTTTTATAAATATTTAGTTGAGGTCACCCAGATAATAATAATAATAGTAATATGTTCAATTGACTGAATTTCATATTTAATGATTAAAAGATAATAATAATATGGTTTATCATGTATTTTTTTATAGACCAGATCCTGTATTATGGACAAAGGATGGTGGAGAATTACCAGATCCAGAAAGAATGGTTATCAATGGTAGGGAGCTACACATTAATCCCCTAAATAGAACGGACAATGGTACTTACAGATGTGAAGCAGAAAACTCTATTGGCCTAAACAGTGCAGAGTATGTTCTTATTATACATGGTGAGTACTTTATTACTGATATGATACTGCATATTTGCATGTGCTGTAATACATTTTACTTATAAAATATTTATAAACTTGGAAAAGTATTAAAGTTGTTTGCAGTTGATGAATATATGCGTATGTAACAAAGAGAGAGAGAGAATATATTGTTGATGGAAGTTGTTTTCATACATTAAATGACTGAGAGAGAGAAAAATCATAAACAGAATTTGCCATTCAGGCTCTCAAGTTCTGCACCATTGACTGCAGAAATCCAAATTCAAGTATCCAAAACAAATGACTGTCTAGTGGGTGCTTAAACAGGGCCGGTGAAGGAGACCTAATTGTAACTTCTGAACAAAATATAAATTAATGCTTCAAATAGGATGTCTTCAAATGGCAAAGGAAAAAAATAAAAAAAATTTGCAAAAGTGTTGTTTATTGATGAAGAGTTTTATATGGAAAATGACCATGGAATCTGTTTGCTTACCTATGATATTATGTTTTATATCTGAACATCCCAAATTCTATTTAATCAGGCCTTTAAAAAGGAATTTAGATTCTCATAAAACAATGTTTCTGTATTTTAAAAAAAAGTGCGAAGAACAAGCAATGTGTACGAAGTGTTTAATTTTCATACTTTCAGTTAATATTTTATCTGAGTCACTGCAGACTCATGTGCAGTTTTTATTTTTCAGAATAACTTTATGTGTTTAGTAAAAGTATGGAATTAATTTTATCTATAGTGATTGCATTAGTTGATTCAAGATTACTAGCTACATTGAATATATATATATATATATATATACACTTTTTAATTAGTCACTTGTGGTTGTGTTGTTGAACTACAATTTTCAAAATCATCCCAGAGATCAAAATTTGCATTACGTTAGTGGCAAAGGTATTGATATATATGATGTAGAGATTATGTGTATGGATCAGATGTTCTAGTATTTTCAAAAAGTTTCAATTATTTATGTTTCCTAGCTTTTTAAAGCAAACTTTCAAAATTGTTCTCTTACAATAAACTGCTTTCTCCATTCTTGAACACCTATTAGATATTCTGTCGACTCTTAGCTTCATCAAAGTCCATTTGATTAGTACTGTATATAGAAAGCAAGAGGTGCCAAACATATGATACAGTGTTTCCCCAAAAATAAGACCCTGTTTTATATTTTTTTGAACCTTAGAATAAGTGCTTGGCGTTATTGCCATGTGCTCAAAAGCTCATTGGGCTTATTATCAGGGGATGCCTTATTTTGGGGAAAACAGGGTACTCTTTGGCAATATTATCCATTATAGTTCTTCAAATATAAAAAAGGTGACGATGACAGCCAGAAAAAGTTTGACAATGGAGATATAATGAATTAGAATCAGAGACCAAATTCAACTGATTCTTTTCTGGTAAATGGATATTTTGTAGTTAGTTAGTTAGTTAGTTAGTTAGTTAATGTATTCGGGGCATTTCTAGGGCCACCCACTCACCAGTAATTCCGAATATCTTACAAAAGATAAACAAGTATTTAAAAAAATACAAAAGGGTGATCACAAAAAACTGAAGCAGGAAGGCAATAGTTTACACAGTACTTCAAAATTACAAAGCAATTAGGGGGATCACACTCCATCATTAATCCAATGTCTGTGGCATGAAGCAATTCTTTAATGTTTTCTTAAAGATCATTGTGGTCAGGCCTATATAAACACAACTACTATGGAAGAAAATTTGTGATAGCAACCCAATGATTTTCAAAAGTCAAAATCAGATTTTTTTTATTTTAATGTAAAGTTTATATATTCACACACACCACTCCTCCCCCCCACCCCTCAAAACACATGTACCAGTGACCTTCGCTTGGCCACTACTCATTGAGAAAATTTCTGTACAGAAAGCAATTTATCAGTGAACAAATAAATATACATTTCTTCATGCAAGCTTTCCTTCATATAATTCCTTCCATATAAGAAATTTTCAGAAACCATTATATATTTTGCTATAATTTTTAGTACCATAGCATGATAGGTGTTTAGAAATATGAGTGCATTAAAGTTTATTAAATCATTTTCCTTTTGCTACTAGTTAATTGTTTGCACCCTGTTGATCTGATTATCTAGCTCAATGGGAATCAGAACAAAAGTGTCATTATAAAGATTACGTTGTAATGATAAAAGTTTATCATTGCCTAGTTGCTGACACATTTTGTAATTTGGTAGTCTTTCATATTATGTAGCTGAGAATTGACCTTGCTGACATTTTCTGTAATGGGTAATTGAGGTGTGGTTTTTTTTAAAATCCTAATTAAATTTCTGCAAATATAGATTTAGAACTACAGAGGATAATTGCAGTTTATGAGGGAAAGGGTGTTAGTTTAGCAACACTAGACTCATCAGAAACAAAATAAGATTTTCCTGGCATTTACAAGTTTTTAAAAGTTCCATCATTTAGCAGTGTTTGTGGTCAAATGTTTTTTTCATACAATTTGATGTTACAGACAGATAATTTCTTATTCTTGTCTTGTTTTTGAGCAATAAGATTATAAGTATAGGTTTTTGGATTGCTTCAGATGGGACTCTTTTAGTCTTTGCATTGTGAACATGAGAAAAAGTTTTTGACTTTTAATAGAGGACATATACCCTTATCTTCATTTTGCACAAATGATATATTCTTCCAATATAGAGGTATTAAGCATTTTAGTTGGGTAAGGGAACTTACGATAATCTTTTCTCTCTTTAACAGTTCAGTTTAAGAATACCAAGCACAGAACCAAAAAAATATAGTTTCCTTCCAAAATATGCTCAGGACATTTATAGGAGCTCAGCAGAATAGTGACTACACATTTCATTTCATTTTTCTCCAATTGTTCATGTGACATGATTATGAGTTATGCCTCAATCTGTTTCTTATAAAAGAGTAAAACATCGGAAAGAGTAAAAGTTGAAGCACTCATGGCTTAAATATTAGCACCATTTTCTCTAGCTCCTTTTCTGTTCTTAATTTCTGTTCTTGTTTTAGAAATTTGAAAAACAACTGTAAACCTTCCATTGGCTTATCTCAGTATACAATGAAGTGAAATCTTATGAATCTAAACAAAAAACATATTCATTCATCATGTATGTGTAAATTTATTTTGTTTTTCTAGCATCTCATGATGTGATTCTTAAAATGTGAAATATAAAAATAACCCTAATGGATCATTTATGCATATACACAAATGTGTCAGTCAATCAGTCTCTCTGGCTGACTATCTCTCTGTCTAGTGATCTATCAATCTATCTTACCTCCAAACTGAGAAGAAAAAGAATCTGAGCTGATTGCTAGATTTAGTGGAATAGGAAATTGCGGTGCCTTCACAAAAGTATATTTGTGTTTTTCACTCACTTGAATTCTTTCTCACTGTAGATTGTAAAACGCATCAGATTTATGGTTGAAAGTCAGCTAATAATTCAGCATGTAGCCTGAGTAAGAGAAAAAAAATGCTAACTAGTTAATTTAATATTGAATAGCCCTTTGTCTTTTAAAATATTATTTTTGCATTGAATCAACACTTGTGGTAAGCATCTTGAACAGTTCCAATGTTATAGTTAATGATAAGTCAACTCCGTTTATAAGAGGATAAAACAATTCTTCTAGAATATCATTATGCTAAAGATCTTTAGAAACCTGTGCAATGAGAAAAGTCAGCTGAAGCAAATCTAGTCTTCCAAATGTTATTTGCCCAGAATCTTGGAGAAATTATTTTTTAAGAAAAAACCAGTTTCCCAAATCACTGGGTCAGATATAAGTTTTATATTTCAGTTTTCCAAACATGATAAACATTTTCTTTTTTAAAAAAAAATCAATTATTTTCTCTCACACACACTATTTCCCTCCTTTTTCTCTTTTTGGGTAGCCGATGATACATATTTATTTTAAAATATGGATACCACTATGAGATACATCTATATTACATTTTTTTGAATCAAGTATATTACTGTTTCATTAACACTATATAATATATGAAGCATAGCCAGTATCATCAAATTAGTGGCAAATAAGTTTAGATATGGAAAAAATTGCATTTTTACTTTACTGAATTTAAAGTAACTGAATGTTACTTTCCGATTTGTGATTGTAAAGATTTTTACATAGAAATATAAGTAAAGATTTTTTAAAAAATTAATTTATACCTGGTAGGTAATCAGCAAGTTATGAACATAAAGAACCCTTTAAAATCTGTCTCATTGCATCTCCAAGGATTACTTTTAAAATTATTTTTAATTTTGTTGTACAAGTTACATTTTAAACCATTCTCATTTAAGAAACTACTTGATAAGTTACATTGAAACTGAGGTTCTAACAGTGACGAAGATGATGAAACAACAGCAGGAAATGTCTCAGCAGTTTATTCAATCACAAATGACAAAATCAGTATCTTGTGTAAGCAACCGTTAACTGAACTTTGGAAAAAATAATCTGTGTATTTTATTTGTGAATATATCAGTTTGGTCTAGTTGTTAAGGCATCATATTACAACCATGAGTTCTAGTCCTGCCTTACCCATGAAAGCCAGCTGGGTGACCATGGGACAATCACTCTCTCTAAGCCAATTCACTTCATGGGGTTGTTGTTGTAGGGAAAATAGGAAGAGGAAGGTATGTTAGATATGTTTACTGTCTTGAGTTATTTGTAAAAATAACAAAAGAGGGATACAAACAAATGAAATAAATAAGTAAAGTACCATTAAAAAACTTACAGAATTACAAAAACCAAATAACTTGTGTCAAAATTTTTGTCTATATTATTAAAATAGGTTCACATAAACTTTCTTTATAGTCTAACATTTAAAATCATGTTTCCACATTGGCATAAAGTACCGTAATTACTGAAATTATCTAAAGATATAAACTCAAATCTAAGAAATTGTCATTTATCAAATCTAGACAATTAGCATATTTATGTTTGTATTAGCTGTACATGTACATACTGTACATGTTTTCCAATCTGACTGGAAGATTTGAACACTGAATATGGAGCACAGATA